CCCGGAGAAACAAGTACGTGTGGGGAGCTGGGCCTTGTTCTGCTGCAGGGCCTGGCGTGTGGGAGCAGCTCTGTGTGTGGGCTCGGGTGGGGATCTGTGCCCTGCCACAGGTCCCGGGTGGCGCTGTGCCAGCCTGCCACCCTGGGGGCTGAGCCCACACCTTGGTGGCAGAGCGCTGGTGTCAGGGGGGTGACATGCTGAGGGTGCAGGTGATGATTTCAAGCGACCAAAGCCTGAGAATTTGTGATTAGAACTGTTTCTGGCTACTGATGCACCCCAAGAAAGGCCTTTGAAAGTGCAGAAACAACATCTGCCAGCCTGCTGCTAACCACAGGGTCTCTCCTGCAGGCTGGACCATTATGCCATTATCAAGTTCCCTCTGACCACAGAGTCAGCGATGAAGAAGATCGAGGATAACAACACTCTGGTTTTCATCGTTGATGTCAAGGCAAACAAGCACCAGATCAAGCAGGCTGTGAAGAAGCTGTACGATATCGATGTGGCCAAGGTCAACACGTTGATTAGGTGAGAAGAGGCAGGAAGAGCAGGTCACTGGTGGGTGCAAGGTGCTTCAAGAACCCAGAGCAGCTTTTAGCAGAAGGGGGGGAACACGTGTGAGTTGCAGCAGGTGTGGGAGCTCTGGGGAGGGGCAGGGTTAAGCTCTGTGGCATTTTTGGTGTTAAGGGTTTTGAGAAACACAACTTGTGACCAAGCTCATCTTAATGGAGGTGGATAAACGTTGGCAGACGGGGGAGTCCTGTGCAAATGATGTGAATTTCTTAACCACTGAGTACAGTGATGTTTCCAAAGGAACCACTGATGCACGTGGGCGTGGTGGGAAGGGGGGAGTGGGTGGGAGGAGCTGTGTGCCCCCCTGCTGATGCCCCTGTCCCTCCCCAGGCCTGATGGGGAGAAGAAGGCTTACGTGCGGCTGGCCCCCGATTACGACGCGCTGGACGTTGCCAACAAGGTGAGAAGTCTTTGAAAGCTTTGTGCCCGGGTGTTGGTCCTGGTGCCACGTGAGGTGCTTCTTGTGCAGCGTCCTGGTAGTGAGATGGGATCCCAGTGTTCCAAAAGGGAGACCACATCGCCCAGCAAAATGGAATTCTGCTGGAAGATCCTGAGGTTGGGTGGGAAAAGAGAAAGAATTGCTGTTCTTCAGCCCCTCCAGGAGGGGACTACAAGAGCTCTGCAGTGTTAGCAGGGAGGGTGCAGAAACTGCCCTGCAGCTCCTGGGTGGGAACAGCGTTTGTCCCAGCAGCATTCTTGGCCAGTGGGGGCAGGGGAGATGGTGGCAGGGGCAGAGGCCTGCATGAAGGAAGGGCTTCTGCTGCACTGTTGCTTCAAGTGGCAGATAGCTCAGTCCTCGAGGTGCTTGAGGGAGGCAGGAGGCAGGGGTGCCACAAACTGCAGTGGGGGAACATGGCTTCACACAAGGGTCACTGCAGAGTGAATGTGTAGAGCAATTGTGTGAGGCACTTGGGCAGGTCTGGGAGCAAGAAGCCCATCCTGGCAGAACAGGCACCCTGGGGAGATGCAGCTGAGGCAGCAGTGTCAGTGGTGGAGGCTCTGCTGCTGTTATGTCTGTTTTACTGTGCTTTGCTTCTTTCCAGATTGGAATCATCTAAACTGCATCTGCCGAGGACTGTACAGACAGGATAATAAACCCTGTGACACCACTGAGGGGCTCTTGTGTTCTGTGACAGCAAAGCCTGTGGGAAAAAGTGCCCAGCCAGCTCTGGGGGCTGCGTTTCAGTGAAGGGGCTTCCTCCCTCCCTGGCGCTAGGTGGGCAGAGCTGAGAGGATGGCACAGGGGACATTGCTGTCCTGTCTGCAGTGTCTCCTGGACCTCCAGCCTCTTTGCTGCCAGGTAACAGGAGGTGACACTCCCCCACATCTCAGCTGTCAACATATTTACCCAAGGCCTCTGGTACCCTGCAGTTTGTTGCCCTGTGTAATGAGTGTTTGTGATCAGGGTGCTTGGTTCCCTATGTACCACAGGCTGCTGCGTGCCCGGGAGGTGGATAGTAACCAAAACAAATGTGTTCCTGGTTCAGGTCTGGCCCAAGTGGAGTGTCATGCCATTTCCCCAGCATTCTCAGCTGCTTGCTTCCACTGCAAGTGTCACTTGAAGCCTTCAAGTTTTGTGTGTGGTTTTTTTTATCTGGCACGACTGCTACTCCCTGTGCTACAGCGTGTGATTTGCAGCCTGCTTCCCCTGACACTGCTCCTGCTGTGTTGCCTGTAGCCTCACAGGGTTCACAGTCCCCATCAGGCCCCTTTCTAAGGTAGCTGCTGTTGTCCCTGTGGGTCTTTTGCTTCCTTGAATTTGTAGATGAAACTGGCTTTTCAGGGTGCTTGGAGAGTCATGGGAATGTGGAGAGGTGACCTACGGCTATGTCTTTAGGGTACTTCATCTTAAGGACGTAATTAGACTCACGGAGGGTTTGAAAGTGGTGCCCAAATATTGATTGTGGTAATTGAGCTCTTGGGCAACAGGACACAGAGTTCCTTCAAGCCTCCTGCAGACTCTAGGTCCCTGGGGTGGTGGTTTGCACATGTGTGACGTGGTGGATGGAAAGGGAGCTGTGCCAACTGCTGCTGCTCCCAGCACCTCGGGGGGAGGATGGGTGCTGGATTGCATGGCCCTCGAGCCTGAGGCCCTTTGCCTGGTGCCCATGGCTGCCAGCTCTGTGTGGTGGGGTACAGCTGCACAACAGGCAGCCTACGACAGCCCTGCTGCTGGGGTCAGGGCTGATGTTCTGCTGGCCTGTGGCGTTGAGGGCACCAACCCAACCTCCTGCCTGTGGCCTGGGGAGGGGATGAGCAGCACGGAGGTGCCCCATGCCACCTCCTTCACTGGAGTCACCCCAAGGAAGATGCAGGGGGAGAACTGTCCCTTGTAGCAGAGCCAGTACTGCTGCTGGGGTGAGGGGAGCCAGGAGTGTGCCGCAGCGTGGGGCCCAGGGGGGGGATTTCTCCTCACCATGACTTGCAGTCTGCCCTGACCTTGCCACAACTTCACCCAGTGGCTGCTGGCACTTCACTTCCCCATGCTTGCCTCTTGCTCCAGGCTGGCAGCCAGCCTGACCCCCAGCCTGGCCAGCAAGGGAGGATGCTGTGGCTGGAAGCCAGGAGGGCAGCAGTGGGGAGCTGGGCTCCCAGCTTTGGGAAGCTTTGTCATGCCTGACTCTTCCCTGAACCTGGGACCTGCTGGGGCAGAAAGGTGAGGAGGGGAAAGGTGCAGCAGTCAGGGTGAGGGGAAACTGAGACTGGGGCTTGACTGTGTGGGGTGTTTGCAGATGGAGTCAGTGCACAGAGGCCAAGGGGCTTAAGCTGCTGCTGGGAAAGGCACGTGTGTAGATAGCAGGATGTGGTGCTGAGGGTAAGGCTGTGCCCTGCCCACACCACGCAGCTCGGCCTGGAGCTGCTGAGCTGCTTAGAGCAAAGAAGGGGTGAGGTGGGGGGCTTGCAGCTGGTGTAGGGCCCTGCCCATGCAGCATCCCAAGTACTGCATCTCTGCTGTGGCTGCTGGGCTGCTCCTGGCATGCCCCAGGGTCACTGCACGCTGGGGAGTCCCCGCAGCATCCCGGCTCTTGGGAAGGAGGGGGATCCCCCACTGCTTCCAGTTCATCACCAGCTCATTTCCGCTGCTCTCGGCCTGAGCTGGGCAGGCAGAATGGATCCTGCCCCAGAGCTGGGCAGGGCAGGAGCCCCTCTAAGCCCCACTGCTTTATGCCAGCCCCGCACACTCCCAGAGCTGCTGTGTCAGCAGGATTTGTCTTCCTGATGCTCTGGTGATCCACAGGACCGGCTGGGCCGGTTCTGGCCCTGCTCCCTGAGGGAGGTGAACCCCTTCTCTCCTCCTGCTGCCCTGAGGGGGGCTGCTGGAGGCAGCCAGGTCCTGCCACTACAGGAGAGGGCCCAGCATGCTCCCAGGGGAGCTGGAGCTGTGCTGTGCCAGTGAGAACCACTCTGGGGGGATGTGAGCGTGCAGCAGGTCTTCCAGGAAGAGCCGGTGGCCCCACAGGGCTTTCCCATGCCAGCTCCACTCCACATGGCTGCTGAGTGAGTCATGCCGCCCAGCCAGGCTCCGTGCCGCCAGGCCCCAGACAGGCAGGTCAGGGACGGCTGGAAGGCTCCAGAACACTCCTGGCTGCCCTACCCTGCTCCTGGCACAGCCCTGGGTCTCTGGAAGAGGGGTGAGAAGGAGAGGAGGGATGGGAGGGACCGGGAACCACCCGGAGGGACCCACCCACTGCAGGGAGAGGGTCTTGCAATTTAAGGCACAGCACGGTGCAGGTGGGCTGCTAGGACCCAGCAGGCTTGAGTGCATCTCTGGACCGTCCCTAGAACAAAGTGAGCAGCAGAAATGTGCACTCTCCCTCCCTGAGGACTGCCAGCCTTCTGTTGGGAACAGAGGAACATCCTTTCCCATGCCCCTGCCCCTGCCATCCTCCCCTGCCCCGCCTCTGCCCCACAGAATAGCCAGTCCCGGCGAGCTGCAGCAGCAGTACACAGACTGATTTTAATGCATGTTACACCCAGCACCACCACGGGAGGGATTTGTCCCTTCCCTCGCAACCCCCTCTAGCTGTCGGCTGCTAAATGCAGCCACCCCTGGCCCTCCAGCTGCCTGTGTGGAAGCTGGCTTGGGCTGCTTCTCCATCAGCCGTGCCCCTGGATTCGGGAGCCTCCCCGTGGGCTTGCGAGGCAGCATCCCCGTGGCCTGGCGAGGCTGCCGGGCTGGTCCGGCACAGAAGCGGTTTTCGGCAGTAGAGCAGGTGAGGGCAGGGCCTGGGGCCAGGGAGCAAGCCCTAAGGCACATCAGAGCAGGTTGGGACAGGCCAAGACCTCCAGGAGCCAGAGCCCGGGTCCTCCTCGGAGCGCACGTCTCAGTCTATCAGAAACTTCTCACCATCCACGTCTCTCCCCGCAGAGCCCTTGCGCAGGGAAGGGAAGAAATCAGAGCGGAGGAGGCGGGAGAAGTACATGAGGATCATGGCGTCGAGCAGCAGGAGGTTGGCAGTGAGGAAGGCACCCTGGCCCTGCACCTCCACGTGCCGCAGGAAGTACCAGGTGAGGTAGGCCTGGGGCGCCAGGCGGAAGGCGAAGTACATCACCAGGTTGACGTACTTGTTGGTCTCGTAGAGAGCAGGGGAAGGCACGTTGCTCATCTTCAGCAGCATGCGGATGGTGAGGAAGATGTTGCTCACCTCCACCAGCAGCAGCAGCACTGCTGCCACCAGGAAACGGCCCGTGATGATGAGTGAGACGAAGGCAGAGATGGCCTGGGAGTTGGAGGGACACAGAGCAGGGTCAGCTCTCCTCGCCCTAGGAGAGGTGAGTTCTTCCCCACCAACATTTGGGCATGTTCTGCTCCTCCCCACCCAGAGATCCCAACAGCCCCCCAGGCACCGGGGCTGAGGGAAAACCAGTCTGGAGAGCCAGTTCCTCCAGGACTAGTTACACCTCCCTGTGCTGGGGAGCTGGGACCAGCCTCTGGCTCTGCCCTCACCCCAGGCAGCAGCACTTGAAGGCAATGCTGGCAGGCGTCCTGCCCTGCCAGGCACCTTCACCTTGCCAATGCAGAGCCTACCTGGCAGCCAGGGTGAGGTGGAGGCAAGGGCTCTGGCTTGCCCCACTGAAGAACATGAAACCTACAAGGGCTGAGCCCTGAGGTGTGTGGTTGTCCCCCCCTCTGTGCTGCCCCCTCGCCTCCCCAGGGCCACACTCACCATGGCATGGTGCACCAGGTACTCCCAAGATGAGCGCGACTGGTTGTTGAAGATGATATCAAGGCTGTCATGGATGAAGTAGCCTGTGGGGTAAAGGAAAGCGTTGATGGGGTCTGGCTTGTGAACCCTCACCTGTTATGATAAGGAGGAGCAGGGTGGTGTGACCATGCTCCAGGTATTAGGAAATGCCTCCAGCCCAGCTGAGCATGGGGGGACAGCCTGGCCTTGGGCGCTGGGAGCCTGCAGGCCCCATGCCCGTGATTAAGGCAGGAGGCACGGAGAGTCGCTGGGACCTCAGCTCGGGGCAGCGTGCTGGGAGAGGCCGAAGAGGGAGGGGGCAAAAGCCTGGAGGGGTGGCCGGTGGCCATGGCCGTGCCCTGGCCCCTTACCTGAGGAGAAGCAGACGAGCAGGTGCCCTGAGACGCTGTAGCCGTCCTGGATGTCGGAGAGCAGCTCCGGGGAGTGCCAGAGGCTGGGCGGGACGAGAGGAAGAAGGGGGTCAGCCTGGGTGCTGCGACGGG